TTATGGAATAATATTAATTTCTTTGGTTTTAGTAGATATGGGACACACGAACTGGCAATAAACTTATGGAATATTCCGACCATGCGGATTTTATTTCAGATTTCGCCTTTCGTGATGATATTAAAACACTTGTTTCAACAAGGTACATATGATTTTCCAACAAGAAATGGATGTTATATGTTTAACATTTTTTTTATGAACATAGTGGAGATGGAACGCTATCCGTATACGACATACGGAAACCAGACGTGGTGGCCATGTCAGATAATCAAGATGATGAATTACTGTCCGTTACAGTTGTGAAGGTATATTTCTAGAATCGTCTGTATGGAGCATTTACCATGATATTTATCAAACTTCTACATATAGAATGGTAGGAAAGTAATTACTGGAACTCAAGACGGTATTATCAATTTGTTTTCATGGGGAAAATGGGGTGATTCAAATGATAGACTTGTAGGACACCCAAATTCAGTAGATACGATTGTCAAAATAACAGAAGATTTGGTGTGCACAGGATCTAGTGATGGTATAATAAGGTAATTAAATGTTTTTTTTTAGTTGATGTATTATTAAATATGTATTTATTTTTACCCTACAATAGGGTCGTTGAAATTCTTCCGAACAAATTTTGTGGGGTTGTCGGTGATCACGAAGATTTTCCTATTGAATGTATACGAATATCTTTTGATAATTCATTTCTTGCTAGTTGTTCTCATGATAATACTGTGAAATTATGGGACATTCGATATCTTTACGAGAACAAAACTGATGGTTGTAGTGATCGAACCGACACAAACATAGAACCCATTGATTTTGACAGTGATAATAAGAAGAAAAAGAAATCCGTGACTGCCACAAATTGGAACAATAACTTCTTTGCTGATTTGTAATTATAAATTCCTTTTTTTAGAATAAAGCTTATTTTGTACTCTTATGTTATAAAATACAATATTTGTCATGATTAAAGATTTAAAATTGATGCAAATTTGAGATTAGTTATGTTTTCGATTTTTTTTCAATACAATACTATATACTAATATATAAACTTCTGATTATTAGAACCTAAATAATAAAAAATGTTTTTTATAAGGCTAAGTATTAGGACTTTTATGGGTCTGATCCGTCTGAGTCTCCAGATTTGACCAACCTGGTCAATGAAACACGTACTAGTAAAAGTTATAGGTCAAGAAAATTCTTACTTTTATAAATGCACTTGCATTTTATTCTTCATGACAAAAAAAACAACGTCTAAGTAAGATGCAAAATTGTATGTATTAATAAAATGGTAAATATTTAAGGGCATTTATTTTTGGTGCACTTCTCTATGATATCTCAAAATTTTACTAGGGTAACCCTGTTGTGTAACTAATAAAAAATACTCTCCGTAAAGCTTTTACCCTAATCC